AAAAAAAAAAAAAAAAAGGAAAAGAAAAAGAAACTCTTTTTCCAAGCAAGTCACAAAATGACCAAACCAGCCTTGTTGCAGAGTTCTTTTTCCCCTTTTCTGCCAAGTTGTTTGTGAAAGTGTTTTAAATTGTCTGGGAAACATATATATCTTGTTATTCCAAAGCTAGGTTATCATAACTCTGACTTTTGCTAGAGGGAAGAATCTAGGAGAGATGGAAATAAATGCCGGTTCCCCACTGTAGCAAATTCCTCCAGCTTCTGTACAAAACCGTCTGACTGCCCTCAGGCTTGTGAGAATGTGGCAGAACGCAGCAAATCTCCCAGGGCCACAGGTGAATTCAGGTAGGACCTGCTTTCCGTATGTTATGGTTTGTGTCTGCATGTCCCCCACAATCCTCATGCAGTCATGGGGCAGGCGTCTAGATTTTTGATTGATCCATAGTCCAATGCTGGGATTATGGGTGTGAGGGCTACACATGCCCCTGGGGTGGGCAGTTTGCATACAATATAAGGGAGGAAAAGAGGCTTGCTCTCTGCTGCTCCTCCCTTTTTGCTCCTGCTGTTTTTGCTGTTTTCTGCCACCATGAACGGTTGCCCTTTGCCATGTGCCACTCTGCCTTGGAGCCAGCTGAGTATGGACTGAAACCTCCACAAACTGTAAGCTAAATAAATCTTTCCTTCCTTAATTTTGGGCGTCAGGTATTTTGTCTTGGCAACAAGAGAAAAGTAATCCAGACACCATGTGCCATGTCACCTGGACACAGGAAAGAGCAGAAGGACTCCCACTCCTGTTTGTCACCTCCCCTTTACCCTGTGTTCTCTGTCTCTTTGTGGCATGGAGGGTGCTTTCCAGTGACAGTAATAAAGCATAAGACGAATTGAGTGGCCTCTGGTCATAAACTATTTGTCCTAACTGCTTCATTCTAACAAAACAAAGCACTTAAACCCATTAAAAACAGACCCCTCCCAACATCCACCAAAGTCACAATGAAAAACCACAAAAGGAAATAAATTTATGCAGGTATTGAGAATGGAAGGAGATGGTAAAAAAATGAGACAAGTTATACCACCAGCAAACAACAGTGACGAGAGCTGCAGTGACTCAAAAACAAGGAGAGAAGGGGGAAGCTTTAGAGTAGGAAAGGGGGAAGACCTGATATGTGCCCTGACTAGAGGCTGTTGGCACGGGAAGCCACAGGGCAACCATCTAGGAGGAGGCATCCTATGGTAGTGGTATGGGGTGCATGTTTGGCTTTCTCTGGTTGGTCCAATTTGCAAGTGTGGACATGAGTGGTGCTATCAGATATTAATCAACTCCTGCATGCTTGGGGCCTGTTGTTACAGAAGTTACTGTCTGGCTTCCTAAGTGCTAGAGACAGTGACCTGACTTTCCCTAAGTCAGACTTGTAGATAATGTCAACTTTCTGGGCTGGTTACTGTAAGTAACAAGTTGGTTTCCTGGGCTGGTTGCTGCAACTTGGGTGGGAACCAATGTTCTGTCATTTTATATTGCTGGCCCGTTACCTGTTTATATATTCAGTCTCAAACCCAAGCAAAAAAATAGGGGACCCAATAAACAGTGAGCTGGGAGTATACTGACAAGGTTCAGGATGACACAGATTAAAAAGTAGGCTGCTCAGAACTGGCCATTCTCCAAACAGAATGATTAGGAAGTTGGATGTGCTTGGCAATATGGTGAACAGGTTATGTCAACAAGAAGACAGACACATGCACAATTTAAAACTCTGTGGTAAAACTCATGTTCCAGATTTTAAAAAAGAATAATAGTAAAAATGAGTTATTATTTTGAAGAACGGATAGCATAAATCAGGAGTCCACTTGACCTTGATGTTTGGAATAGCTCCCTTTAAGCAGCAAAGATTTACTGACACAGGGTTGCATTTCCTTCTCTATAAAGCCCTCTGATTTTTGAGGTGAATAATATTTACAAAATCAAAATATTGTTAAAGCTGTATATTGCTTTTCAACTTTTAGAATCAACCTACAGGGGGCCAGGGATGTAGCTCAGCAGCACAGCACCTGCCCAGCAAGCATGAGGTCATGAGGTCAATTCCGGGTATCAAAAAAAAAAATAGAAGCAACTTCCAGGTAAATAAACAATAAAAGAATTAATTAGGATTACAGTGTAGTATGCAACTGTTTTAAAGTATGACAAGGTCAAAATATAGTTAGCATTGACCAATGCTGGAAGGAAGAAAAAGGAGGCAATTTAGTGTTGATTTCCTCAGGTGACATAGAGAAACATGACAGAATAAATTCACAAATCAAGAAATGAAGGTGTCAGATGCAACTAGAGACCATGCTCATAAGTAAAATAAATCAGACTCACCTGTGTAAAAGATGCAACTAGAGACCATGCTCATAAGTAAAATAAATCAGACTCACCTGTGTAAACATCATATTGTCTCCCTATATAAGAACCAGAAAGAGTAAATAAGATCCAAGAGGTACAATAGATATTGTGAAAGGGAAAGAAACTGCTCAAAAAGGAAAGAATGACTGAGACGAGGGAAAAGAGAAAAGAAAGGAGGAAGGACAAAAATATGTATATATGTACACACAAGATAGCTAAGATAATTGTACTACTAATTTCCATTGCTTTATTGAAAGGAGCAGTTAATGTTTAATTGTTTGATCAATCTTACATGCCTATATTTGTTTATCTGAGTAACCAATTTGAAGATAACAATATGTAATACAACCACCATTGTTAATTTCCTATCACCTTGTCTGAAATTCTGTATTGCTTTTTGTTTTTATGTTGTGTTGTTTTGTTTATGTCTGTGTGTTTGTTAATATTTTGGTTCTTTTATCTTTAAAATAAAATAAAGAAATGAAGGTTTTGGCACATTGTTTCAAATCACAGAAGAATAAAAATATAACAAAAGTTGGCAGGAGGAAGTTGGAGAAGATACATGCTTCATCTAGCAGAGTGAGGAGTCATTAGCTACTTCTTTGTATGACAAATCAAAAATAGAAATGCAAGCATACTTTTTAAGTTATGAGCAGAACTGCCACCTCTCCTCACTCCTCCAAAGTCCATGAACAAGAACAGCAATGAAAATGCAGAGGGTGACTGCGCCTCTCAGCACAGCCTTCCATACTACTTTAACTGTAATTTCCCTAGACGTGTGTGTTAATATTCTTTTCTTTCTTTCAAATTTAAAAGAAGTCATAATTCAGAGACAACACTCAAGAACTCCCAAAGAGCTAAATGCTTTTTCTCTGTCCCTCAAACCAACTGCAGCTTTATTATTTGACTCACTTTACCAAGTTCATAATTTCACCTGCACTTTCTCAGCTCCACCTCCTTGGGGACATGGAGACATTTGATATCTATTTATTGCATGTATCTTGGTTACTTTTCTCTTGCTGCTGAGACAAAATGCCCGATGCCCAAAATTAAGGAAGGAAAGATTTATTTAGCTCACAGTTTGTGCGGGTTTCAGTCTATATTGGGCTGGCTCCAAGGCAGAGTGGCACATGGCAGAGGGCAACAGTTCATGGCAGCAGAAAACAGAAAAGCAACAAGAGCAAAAAGGGAGGAGTGGTGGCAGGCAGCCTCTTTCTCTCCCTTACATATGTGAACTACCTGCCCCAGGGGCAGGTGTAGTACTCACACCCATAATCCCAGCATTGGACTACGGATCAATCAAATAGCTAGAAGTCCGCACCATGACTGCATGAGGATTTGGGGAAATATGCAGACACAAACCATAACAGTATGGCTGAGAAGGTACTGGTAACGTCCTTCAATGAGTATTCAAAGAGCACCTAATAGATGCTAGGCACTGGAGGTGTGGAAGTGAACCAAACGAAGTCTCAGTTTTCATAGAATTAAGGGGAAGGGATCAAGAGAGGGAGGAAGGAGGGAAGCAGAGGAGGGATAATCAGTGAAGAAAAGGAACTGGGATATGTTATGTACATGTGCCAACTCCCCACAAGGAATGTAAACATGTACTGTGCACATGTACTAATAAAATACAGTAAAAAATCAATTGGTGGGCAAGACAGACAACAAATAATTTTTTTTTTAATCTGCCTTCCTTTACCTGCTAAAAGAAAGAAAAATAGCATCTCGGGTTAGGAAGCCCCAAGTGTGCATTTCTGTTCAAACTACAAGACCCTGAATCAACAGCTAAAACTCTCTGAGCTTTAGTGTTTCCATCTGTAAACTGGGGAGCCTACCTTTCACAGTAAAAATGCACCCAGGTCCCCGAGTGAAACTACACAGATACGAGTTGGTTTTTCTTCCTTTTTGGGGAGGGGGAATCTTATAACAGTATAAATATCGTACTCTTTCTGATTTAATATGAGCCAAGGAAGTGGGGAAAACCAGATTTACAGACAGCCTGAGAGATGTTAGGCTTTGAGCCCTTTGGTGTGGACAACTTTGAAAATCAGCAAAATGAATCTTCATTCAGGTAAGATTCTGCTCTCCAGAGTATGAGATGTACTCTGCATCTTAAATGTCCCCGCACCCCCAAAGACCCATGTGTTGGAGAACTGGTCCCCAGAAAGGCACTACAGGGAGGTTTGGAACACGTAAGTAGTCTAGTGAGAGGTCATGGGGTGATGCTTCAAAGGGAATAATGGGCTCTCTTCCTCTTTTGTTCCTGGCCTTAAAGCAAGCAGTTGTGCTTCACTGTGAGTTATCTCCCCCAAGCCAGCTGAACAGAGATTGGAATCTCCAAAAAAAAATATCCAAAATGAACCTGTTCTTTTTATAAGTTGATTATCTCAGGTATTGTTTAGAGTCATGGAAAGCTGCCGAACATAGTATGTTTGGGAAACCATCTGTAACAAGGGCTCTACAGCCAAACAAACAGTAGGAACACAGCCCATTATAGCCTTCTCTTAGAAAGTCATACTGCATGCAATAAAAATCCTGAGAAGTTCTACAGCAGTGAGACCTGTTCAACTCCGTTTCCTAATTTACCTTATCACAGACTCTCGCACCCACAGAAGGGATGGCGTAAAGCCTCCCTAAACATCCCCTGCCCACCGTTATGCCATCGAACTGGTGCTCAGAAGAAAGTGCTGTAGGAAATGCCAAAGTAGAGGGCCTATGGACTCTACTTGGCTCAAATCAGAGTTAATAGCTTTCAGGAGTTCATTAGCACTAAAAGTAGTTCGCCAGATCTGAGCAAGGCCATGTGGCCAACAGCAGACCTCACTGTGAACAAGATTCTCTCTGAAATGCATTTCGTGCTCTGTGGGAGGCACATGAGTGGTAGAATCTCTCTGAGCCCAGAATGCAATGAACCTGTGTGCAGCCTGTGAGCCCTACCAGAGCTGTCAGGGTTCCAGCCATCACGTCAGGTTCCATAGTAAATGGAAACCATCGTGTCCTGTCCAGCCTTACAATCAGTGCTGGGAAACCCACCTGCAAACACCTGTTCCTTAAGTAACCAACTAATCCTGCAAACACTTCTAGGACACAGAACTGGTCATGGAGGGAAGTGTTTGGCAGCAGATTCCAATAACATCACTGGATGCAGCAGCCTCCCTGCTCTCACCCCTTCCCCTGCACCCCACTTCCCCACACACACCAGTCCCCCAGACCTCTTGCCTTCTAGTACTTCCACACACAAAAAGAAAAGAAAAAAGAGAAAGGCTGTCTTTAGACCACAATTTTGGAATTTGGGGAACAAAACTGCCACTGCTGGGAAAACCTAGCAAATTGAAGGACATGACTGGCATTTCCTTCTAACTCCATGACATCTTTGTCTTGAGCAGGAAGTGCAATTTGGATGACACCGGCAGCTGCAGATCCTCCTGCAGGAGGCTCAGAGCCCACAGTCCCTCCAAATGGCAAGTTGCGCTCCTCTCCGCTCCCACTCGGCGGCATGCAGGCTGTCACCTGAAGCCTTGCCCAGCTTTGTTCCTTTCCACAGACACCCGCTGCCAGCAAGGCCCACGGGCCACATCCAGGATCCGGGAAAGTGATACAAAGTGAGTGGTGGAGAATAGGCAGCCACCCGCCGGGGGTGACTGGAGCAGGAGAATTCCTCTGCCCTCCAAAGCATTCTTTCCCACTGGCTGTAAATGCCTAAAACATCAGCGTAAGAGTGTCACTCCTTCTGCTGGAAGCAGAGCCAGGAAATGAACGGTGTGCAGTCCGTGGCATTGCTGCCTCCTCTATAAAATCCAGCAACTTTCTTGCTGTGTCCTCACTTTGCACCCCTTCCCACCATCGCCCTACTAGATTTCCTATGAGAATTTAGCCCTATTAAATATGCTTCCCATAGTTGTGAGAAAGCACTTAAAATAACCTAGAAAAGGAAAAGATGGGTGATAGATGGAAGAAACATGGCAAGCTATGGATAAGTGTGGAAGCTGATGGGGTCTGTGTGGCTTTGTTATGCTTTTCCCTCTGCTTCTGAAGAGAGAAATGTATATGTATGTCATTCTATGTTTAAAATTCCCATGATCAAAATTTAAATTAACATATATGTACATATACATATATACCCATAGTACATGTTCACTGTTTTTCTTCCTACCTAATATTACTTTAAGCAGTTATCAGTAAGTTAAAGTATAATGTGAAGGCGCTTTTGCATCTTCTTAGAGCAAATTTCCATAGGAAAAGAATAGAAGGTAAGCTAAATTTTCAGTGGGCAGAAAGCCACCAATTTGGAGGAAGAGAGAATCAAATCTAGAGGGGAGGCTGGAGCTCCCCAAAACATGGAAAGGCAGCAAATTACTTTGCCAACTGTTGACTCTGATGCTATTCAAGCAGTCACACTGGGGTTGAGATGTTTGTTGGAGGAATGGAAAGCCTAAATATTCTCAGCGTTGTTGGCTTCTGACGCATTTGTTTTTGCCACTAACCAGCTCTGCTTTTTGCATCAACCAGCTTAAGCATTAGAAGCCAAGGTTTTTATTTGAGGTAAGAACTGTCAAAGTTAGTCAACCAGCCTAGCTGTTGCTTCAGTGGACCCAGCTTTCAAGTTAATGACTATTCGTTTCTCTGATCCCAAGGCCACACATGGATCCCAGCCTACAGTAGATTTAGAAGAGTTCATTTCCTACCCATAATTTGTAGAAAGCGCTTCAGTCAAGCTTCTCAGATGAAGCCACCTTTCAAAATAATGCAAGGTGGGAGAAGCTAGTATTCCCAGCCTGTACACCCAATGTGCCTTCTTTCCTTTATGGGACCCTGTAATCTCAGACTGCTCCTATGTTCAAAAAAGAATCAATAAAAATGCATCCATACTTTAGGAATATCAATTCTTAAAGTTTTTAGGAATTGAAGTTGGGGTAAATGAGGTGGAGTTAGATACACAATTGATATCTTAGCGACTGTCAAGAAGGATGAATTGGAGCCATAGAGCTGATACAAAAAGATCTCCAAGATAGACTATTTAGTTGGTGGCAAAAGCCCAGTTGTCCTGTGGAGGCAAGGCCATTTCCTGCCTAGTGAGGAAGAGCTTATCTATGAATCATCAGAACCAATCACTGACAGAAACTGGCCCCCAGAGGCAAGCCAGATCCAAAAGGCTGAGCACAGTGGACTGGCAGAGTTTGAAAATGTCTTGTATCTTCTTCTCAGTAAAAGTACAGCTGTTCCTCCACTATGCAGAGATGTGACAGTAGCTGAAAGGAACAAAGACAGGCATGATTTTTGCATATTTATGCTTGCCTCTTGGGGAGGGAAAGCAGTTACTTTAAGATCCAAACCTATAAGTTTTAAGTTTCTAAGCATCTGACATTTTCTTTATTTTCTTCTTTTTGCACCTGAATATTTAATAAAAAGAATCTTTGAAATTGCTAGGAGATTCTATTCATCCCAGGGACAAAGAAGGAAAGAAGATGTTGTGTTTCCTGGGCTTAAATTTCAAAAGGGAAGTAGTGCACCCTCAGTGGAATGAGATCCAAGCATGACGCAGAAGAGAAAGTGACCCTTGAGGGTGCAAGCTCCTGCAGTTCCCATTTATAACTGCTCTGCTGGAAGTTTTGTAGTTATCTCAGCAGAGACTGCCATATCCTTACCTTGTCCTATGTGTATTCTCTGATCTTTGGTGAGGCAAATGGCTGTGGCAAACCACATCTCCCAAACTCCCTTGCTTCTAAGCTAAGTCAACAGACTAATAGGCTATTGCTAAATAGGTTACAGAATAAGTGAAAACAGGAGTAAGAGGTTATGTCAGTGTGATTTCTGAGTAGAGCTCTTAGCGTCTGACTCCTTCCTTTTTCTTGCTGGCTGGAATGGAGACGTCATGGCCGGGGCTTAAGCAGTCCCTTGGAGCCCCAGGTAGAAACTTTATGTTAAAGATGGAAGGCAAAGAGCCTAGGTTCTCAGTAGTTGTGGGATTGTTGTTCTACTTCAAGACAGCCTATGTTTATGTGAGAAATTTATTCAGTAAACTTCCATTTATCTTAAGCGATTATTGTGTTAGATTTTCTGTCACTCTTAAGTCAAGCTTAAACCTGGGTGATAGATACATGAAATCTTCTAAGGTCTTTGACCTTAACTGAGTTCAGTTCCATTATTAGTGAATGTGAGTATGTGTATGCCTGTGTGAGTCTTTTCAGAGTCCTAAGGGAGCTCAGCAGCCATGCCTTACGGGACTAAGAATAAGGTTTCCTTGGAGGGCTCCAGAGATGGATCATGTTTATCCATGTGCAAAGTGTACAAAATCAAGCAACTCTATTTCTGCAGACAAATCTCATTCCTGCCGTTATCCTAGAAATTCAGTTCCCATTTTCTCTTGCCCACCCCTGGGATCACAGGCCGGACTTCAGAACATATGGGCAACAAGCAGGAAGCTCTTGGTCTCCTACCCTATTCAGAGCAGGTTCAAACTGACTCCTCCAGTAGTCCTATTGACTAAGTCAGGATAGTCAAGTAATGTGACCAGCGTTCCCCTGAGTGTTCTGAGATCAACCCTAAGTGTGATACCAGACTCCTTAATAACCCAGCCTATGCTAAATGTGCGGACATTTCACCAACACTCAGTCTTCTTTTGGATCCACTATCTCTGGTGGACTCAATGCCAAAAAGCAGATTTTTACAAGAAAGAAAGGAAGGAAGGAAGAAGAAAGGGAGGGAGGGAAAAGGAAGGAAAGGAAAGGAAGAGAAAGGAAAGAAAGGAAAGGAAAAAGAAGAAAGAGAAAGAAAGAAAGGAAGAAAGGAAGAAAAAAAGAAAGAAAGAAAGAAAGAAAGAAAGAGAGAGAGAGAGAGAGAGAGAGAGAGAGAGAGAAAGAAAGAAAGAAAGAAAGAAAGAGAGAGAGAGAGAAAGAAAGAAAGAAAGAAAGAAAGAAAGAAAGAAAGAAAGAAAGAAAGAAACCACTTTGAAGATACCACCATGTATTACAGCAGCCATTGAT